TTTTTTGGCGTCATTAGCGTCAAAATTCAGTCAGAAAAAATTACAAACGAGCTGGAGAATTATCATAACCGCAGAGAGCAGAATGAAAATTTCCTCCGGCTGATGGAGAGGTTCAAGTCTCGCACGCGTAACGATTCTATTTGTATGTGAAAAAAAGTTCTCGAGTAGCAGATTTACTTGCCCGAAAAAAAGCAGCAAGATGGAACAAGTTATTAGTTTTAATACATGCCCTTACTGATACGCATATATGCGTCATGTACGAAGTCCACTGTTGCACAAGTGGTGTAACCCTGCTAGAACAACGAACTTCATCGGCATTCCCGGTATGGTGAACGCAGCCATCCTCAACTGGTGAAGGTGATGCTTTCTCAAGTAGCTTATGGTGTAATGCGTCTTCGCTACAGCTTGTGTTGTATAGCCAAGCACACCGGGTCACATATACTTGTGTGTTGGGTTCTTTTACTTGCAGAGACTTGGCGCTTAAAGCTTTGTCTGAAGCTCCGTCGTCATGCACGGGGCCGCCAGCTTTACGGCACCGTCCGAAATATCTGCAATCCCTCACAGCATGTCCAATTGCAAGCTGGGATCGAACTCGCGCCCATTCCCAGGCTTCCATAACCCACAGTTGTCACGACTCCTTGTTATTTTGATGCTGCTGGTGCAAAAATTCCCACGATTCCCAGAGACTGTCTACATAACTGAGATACGTACTATTCAAAAGGCAACTCCCCCTGGCGGGACAGATAGTGTAGCCTCACCTTCACTGGCAGAATGTCGATCTGTCCACTCCGATCTCCTCGAGCAGATCTACGAAGAGACAATTATCAAGCTAACACAGGTCGGTGGTTTCACAACAAACCGGGGCCATCAGAATCAAGTCGGACTATTTTGATTCTCGGAAAGTATTTACCCCAAAACTTTCTCACGCAATTTGGGAGGGAAACTTTTCGGTCAAATTAGGGCCCAACTGGCTTGTTGGCTGCCAGTTTGCTTTGCGGCAATCCAAACATGTCGGCAGGATCATCAAACGGTCGGAATGTGCCTGTCGTCACCGGAAATTTTACCTTGCCTGTAACGGTACAACGGGCGGACGGAGACGCGAGCACAGTGGGACGGACTGTACGGTCCGTCCGAAAAATATGGGGAAAATTGCGTGACACCCTACACATGTGCATGGATATGATTTGGGTGAACTGGAGAGGGTTTTTCCTTACTACCCTTATCAATTGAATGGGACGGTGCGCTGTACAAAATCTTCTGAAGTACATAAATTAATACATCACATTTCAGGTAATGCACATCTGTACGCGGGAAAATACCTATACTATAGCAACTGTACAGAAGGAAAAGACTTCTTTCAGAGCGTACGCGGGAAAATACCTATACTATAGCAACTGTACAGAAGGAAAAGACTTCTTTCAGAGCGTCTTAGGCACTGTCAGAACGTGATGTTATCCCCAAATGCTGTCTAATTTTGTCCTATCTTTAATTACAAAACGAAGAAATTGTCTTTCATATACATAATCACACTGCTATTCATGACACTTGCTCGTTCGATTGTCAAGGCAAGTTAAGGTACAACATGCAGCTGACTCGACTCCTGACGAATCCTGGGGACATATATGGGCACCTGCGAAACATCCAGACCGAAAGATTTTCAAATTTGACACAAAACAACACGTATGACCTTAGACCGAGACCTTTGTTCTTGAACCAAATGAGTGACGACTAATTAGTCACGAGAGCCGGGCCGGTTTGGCGGGCACGACTGGCCACCTGGCCAACTCCGGGGGAGCGGAAGGCCCTACGGCCCGTGCGCCTGCGCGCTCCCGTGGGCAGATAGTTTGTCTCCTGTACGAGAAAAAAATCATCTCACAACCTCCCAAGAAGGGTACCCATGTGAACAACAAATTGTTTGCCAAAAATCGAGACAAATTGAAGAACAAAGTATCCACAAAACGGTTTGATTAGGCTCTCTGGTGCCCAATAAAATAATTACAAGTCTCGTTGTGTTCAGACGACCAGTTTTTCTCAGACTCACAGACAGTGCGTCACGGCGCCCCTGGTCCTGACTTCGTGGGAAACCGATAGGAAGCACCAATGACTGGGAGAAAACCGCAGACTGAAGCGTGTTTAGAGTGAAGGCATGTGCGTACGGACGGCAACGTGTGCGGCTTGGCACGTTCCCTGGTTCCGAGCACGAGGTTTACGTGAAAAAGAGGTCCCCTCCATAACTGCAACATGATCAACACTTCAATATTTTTCCTAGATTTCTTTTTCGGCTACTGTAATCGGGCGCGCTGATGAGTCCGTTTTCACCTTCAAGAAAATCAATGCCAAACGTTACAAATGAAATAACGCACCATCTTCCCCTTAATATATAAAAAGTACAACTTTTCCAGCGCATCGTGAAAAACTCCCGACCACCGCGATGAGGCGACAGGCGCCACACAAACCTCCAGCTCGTTACGACAAACAAACACAAGACATGATGAAATGGCGAAACTATTGTTCCACTAATTACTCCGATCAAAAGAAAACAGTCCCAGAGTTTACATCTGAGCATATTTAGTCTATCCAGCTCCTGTATTTTGACGAAAGGATTGCGGTGTACATACCATGTCCCAGTGGGAGAATGCCGAGAGAGACATGCGCTTTTCTTGACGGTTAAACACAAATGACGTCAACTACTTCCGTCGACGATGTACTAAAAGTCGGAGACAATGACCGATGCGAAGTTGTAAATACACTCATCCGAAATTCCGTGAATAGTAACAACAAAACCCAGATCCTGCCTTTGACTCATGTCCAAGTGTAATGACCTATCAATGTAACAGGTGGACGAAATAACTACTTTCCTTCAAGTTGTGGGGAAACTTCCTGTCCTGTGGCCGGACATACAAGTTCTGTACGGGACACTTGACAGCAAGGACGACTATTAACAAGAATCGTACTACTTGTCAAAAGCTATGAGTCACGACAACGGGATTTTCATTGAGACACGTGCATGTATGAGCATGGAGTTAGAACTCTACAGTATAAGATAATCAACAGCCTCATCAACAGGTGTTACATGTATATCACCTGTCGATAGTTTACAAAATTTCAAACTCGTCAAATGATAGAGAAATGGCGCTCAAAACTACGACACTTTCCCTCACCATGCAGTTACTTTTCCCCGCTAGATATGTTGACTAATTCCCTGGTATAACCTCTACAGTCAATGATCGCTACACCATTTCTCGATGCTGTCACTCAGGATTGATTCTGTGCGCACACAAGATGAGGTTTCGTCTTGACCGCTACACCTGCCGAAAGGTGTGCACACAATGAGAGAACCTTTTGGAAAAACGTGAAAGAAACTATTTACGTAGCGTGTTGCTGCAAAATGAATCCGACGAAAGATGTTTTGGGCTCTGAGATTCAATAGTGGTGGGTCAAAATAGAGTCTAGTCTTGAGTGCTCAAACTGTCGACTAAACTCGGGATTGTATTTACGAAAAAAAGGCTGCCAGCAGCGGAGAAATTAGTCTGGTTCAGCCGACCGTGTAATGGCGAACGACGCACCTGATGTTTTCAACACGTAACTTTTTTCCATTAGAAAAGTGTTGGTGTTTGGAAGAGAAACAAGTCCCGTGCTTTTACAAGCGAGGCTAATATGTGAAGTATGCGCGGCATCCAGGATGGGAACACCTGACTGAGGCTAGCCGTGTGAAGGGCGCAGTAATGCCGGGTGCTTACGGTCGTGTCGCCGACCAAGGCCGACATCAAGTGGAGGTCGTGCCGATGATAGGTTCTTATGGTAGACAAACGTGACGGACATTTTGCAGCTAGGAAAGGCAAGGTATAAACAAGTACGCAATGACCGAGATTTGTTCAGATAGTTTGCAGTTGATGTGCCGTACAGAGACATCTTAATCCATTGTTTTACAATTCCATCCGACATCCAGGTTACGATGATAAACCTACTTTTTTTTACAATGTACCATAGTGACATGGCGGTTAAAATACGCTTCCTCAAAATCTAAGTTTACGGAAACAGTATGATCATATGAGAAACATAGGTTCACATACTACTACCCCGACTGCCTTGGACGAAAGTATGGACATATCTTATTACTAGTAACTACTAAACAGAGCTCCTGTGGGTAGACCATTTCTGATAAGGAACTGGTGATTTGTCCCATGTGAAGCCATATAAACATGACCAACCTGTGTGCCAGTTGAGGATGTTCTATCTCCTGTCTCAGCTGACGGGACCATAGGAAGTGGACAGATCTCACGGAGTATTACAGTTTATATTACAACTCACGACTCATGTCATAAAATTGTCCTCAAATAGAGCAATCCTATCACAGGGTCTTTTGTTGGCACTTACCGAAAGTCACAGTGTACCTTGTGTGTTCAGGAGATGTTTAGCTGCTTGTCGTGACCGTCCTAAAAACATCCGAATTGATTTTTACTACGCGCGAAGAGTACTTTGTCGGGCGGCGAGCCCCTCCAATCAGGCCCGTACAGCCCGCCACCGCCGCGCCATGTGTCATCTTCCTGCTGCCATGCACTAAAGTCAGGTATGTCAGCAAAATGGACGCTAAAAGCAACCAGTTGAAAACCCGTGTTCTCGGGGCTTGACAGAAACGGCTTAACTTTCCATATTTTCGTCTGAAACCCAGACGAATTGTAGCAAAACAGAGACGCCAGTTGTGACGCTCCGTTGGATTCTGTCATTCATACTACCGCTGGTTGTAACGTTTGGAGTTACGTTTCCATGGCCGGTGTGAGAGATCGAGAGGCAGAAATTTTTATCAGTAACGGTCGGAGAAAAATCTGTCATTCTCCCTGTCACGGCGGTCATAATAACACCAGCAAACGTCAGATATGACACAGGGGTGTATTGTGTTGGTCAGGGAGGTTTAGAGAAAGTGCATATGCCCTGTGACATCACAATTCGGTATCAGTAACCAGAGGGAGATACGCAGAACTAGAAAAATATACACTCACCTTCACAAACGACGACGTGTCGGGCACAGTCTGGCTTGTCGTCTGGTACATGCTTCAGTGTTTGAGTCGCCGGGGTCGAAGTGTTTTTCCCAGTCTATCCCACAGGAACTATAGGTTTTCGTCTCGCACAAATACACAGTGTTGTAGAAGGGTCCCTACACACATAGAGGAGAAAACAGAGTCAAATCCAAAGTCGTGTTTTGATGTTTTGACGACTAGGCTTGTACTGCACGTATGTACGTTGTGAAGTTGTACACAGGAAAACCAAACTAGCTGACCGGGAGAAAGAAAGCTGACACGCACGCTCGAGTAAACTGAATCAATGAATCGCCCTGCGTGGAATGTCCGTTCATTCACAAACGTAGGGAACACGAAACCCGTCCAATATTCTCTCTACTCCAAGGTCAGATACACAACTTGGCGGGTAAAAACCTGTCGTCATTCGTACAGGGAAAAGAGAATCCGGAGAGTAGAGGAACGTGTATAACGGTACTTACGATGGGGTTGTGTTGTGTACAGGCCGCTAGTAGTGTATGGGTATGCTTCCTTCCTGCCTAGGGTCGGTTTCGCGTAACCCGCGCGTGCTTCCTTCGTTAGTGTGGTGTGTGTCACACAGGGCCACTCAGTGGACTGGTGGTTGGCTGTTACGTCAATAGGACACGCCCCTGCAGGGAGATAACCAGGCAACCATTAGCGCTTTATGGTCCTGGGGCTTCCGGCCAGGGGGCGGGCGGCCTGCTGATCAAATAAACCAAAGCAGAGGAAGTTCTCTGCGGCGTCCAATCAGCTAGCCACTAGCGCACAGAACGGCTTCTTTATCAGCAAAGCCACTCGGTCATGCAAGAAAATATATATTTCTCTGTTCAAGGGTTTTGACCCTATGTTTGACCTCTAAACAATCAGCTGACCGGGTCGTGTGTTGCGGGAAATGTTCGAGACGCACGGTGCCATTACAGCATTAGCCACACAAAAGACTCGGTGGACATTCGGCACCAGACCTACAATTAGAGGCCCCACGGACCATACCAATGGTTGGTCGTTACGAACCTATTATTGGTCTCAGTCGGGCCCTACAAAGCCTGTGGACACTTCACAAAGTTTTAGCAAGGGGTTGTGACTGGAAAGGCGTTGAACAATCTCGGTTGAGCATGAGAACTGACCAATCACAGAGTCAAAGGTCCCAGTGGTGCTCTATGCACCACAAAAAATATCTAGTCGAACATAATACACGACGCCAGCAGCACATTTGCGGGTAAGTGTGAAGATCGGATTCCCTCCACTTTGCTGATCATTTCCTGTTGTTATTTTTGGGAACCTCTTCACCGTTGTGGATACCCTATCCCCAAAATATGTATGAATGATCCTCCGTTTCCAATAACACCAACTGCTAAACTACGCTGACCCCAGTCCCCTCTAAAACAAAAAAGCGGAACCTCGCCTTAAGTGTCTTTACCATGCCGAACGTTTTGGTCATCAATCTCTTATGTCAGCGCCTTTATTCTGCGTACAGAGTGCTGACAAGTTCGGCACGTGGATGGAAGTTTTTCTTACGGGCCATCCCTCGCATGCCGCCGATCAACAGGTGCTTGTGTTACCTGCGACACGACATCAAAGTGCCACTACCACAAATGGCTACAGTACTGGAGTACACTTTCATCCCTTTCATTACCCCAGTTCCAGAGAGAGAAAGCTCTCAAGATATCAAGATGTAGCGCTTCTACACGCCAGCGACTCGCCAAACAAACATGACTCACGCTATTTACACAACTCGCTGTTCGACACAATTGGCGCTTAGTTCCAGTGCGATGAGTTACACATATCGGCAGTAGCGCCAATTCTTGCAGAACACACATGAAAAGTTTTGTTTATAGGAGGAGGAAGTGTGATAGGGAATAGAAGAGGCTCTGGGTATGTGTCATTGATGAGAAAAAGTCACCCGACACTGGGCAATTAGCACCATTGGTTACCATAGCAACGCCTAGTGGCAAAACTATAACTAATCTTATGCACAGACTTGCTTATGTGTCTTCATTCCAATGGCCTACTAAGTATATACTTATGTACTGCAAATGGTCTGCAATGTAGTCTGAAGTTAACTGTTATGATAACAATCCTGACGTCATCTTGAAAGCCGGCACGTTTCACATGTTCTGATTTTACTTGGAACAGAATTAGGTAAGGAAATAGTAAAAACGATATAAGCTATGGGATCTGGCCAAAAATAGCACCAATGTAAGCCATTTTGACGTCATGTTTTGAAATCTAGGTCCCTGGTGTTGCTGTTGACGTCATCGCGGCTCGGGTTCGTGACTCAGTCCGCTGGTCCGCATTCTGTACGTGGGAAATTCTAGGGAAAATCTACTCGGACCCCAACATGGCGTGACTGACTTCCAAATATTTTGACACATTTCCCGCCGTACTGGGAATCAAGCCATCGATTGTCATCACCAGAAGCTGTGACTTTTCAATAGTGCAATGCTATCAAACAATATCATGATATTGGACTTGTTTGAGCACATTACATACTGCATCTTTTTCAACATAGAATTTCAGTATGTTGTATATCTAATTCGTGATTTCACAAGGCAGGTTCCGACCATCTGTGTCAAATGTTAACTACACAGTAAAACATGAGAACCTTAATGAACATCGCCCCAGCTAGATCCAGGGCAGATGTTTAGTGTAAATTCGTGCCAGAAGGTTGAATGAAACATGATACTACTACTGTGAGCCACGGCCCCACTGGAGTCAACACCTGTGAAGCCTTTGATTGTGACATATGGCAACACATTACGCTAATCTACAAGCAGATGATTGGAGTTTGCAATGTCCCTCCAAATATCTGCTTGGAGATCACACTACGTCACTTGTGTACCACGCTGCGCACCCCGTATCATCATTTTATCTCATATTCCACCACGTTATTCAAATTGGACGAAATGAACAATGTATCAATCATTCAATGTATTCTTCTGTCTGTCATTATTCTAGGAAAAGCTTTCACACATTTTACACGCTGTAAATCTCGCGACAAAAGCAACAAAACAGCTTTATTTCAGAAGATATAAAGTTTGAGGTGGCGCCTGCCTAATTCCAGTTTTATTGGTGAAGATGTGCTTATGACCGAAGTGCTAGGCGCCAAAATTCAAGTATCCCAGACTCATGTCTGGATGTTTTTATGCGTCGGTAATCGCCCTTTAAACAGTGGCACCCTGCCATGTGTTTGTGACCTTTGACATCCCCGCTTGACGCGTTAGACACCCTAGTACGTTGCCAAAGAACATTTGAACGCTCTGTATGTAGGTTGAATGTGGTTACTTCTCCTGGAACTGGTGCCATTCTGATGTGAATGCACGTTCGCTGGCCGGTGCTGTCAGACGGCACTAGTGGTCACACGCTATGGCCCAAGCGTCCCTTTACTAATACTGTACTGTACAAGTCAGACATAAAACCAGACGAAGGCTTACGGATATGCCCAGAGATACTTATCAATCCTCGCCTAAGTCTGACCTGTCGCGAACTCCGTCTGGTTTTCCGTAAACAGAGTTGTATGCTGACCACCGAGCGTACTTCATTTGCAAAATACTTAGACATTGCGTGGCCGCGTGGGCCCGCCCTGGCCTAAACACACGGCGGGGACCCGAAATTTAAATACCCGGCTGGCGGAGCACGCATGCCCCGCCGTCTGACAAACATCCAGGAAACCGGTTAGCCACAATTGAATGAACCATATGAATGAATGGCATGACACCATGTCGGATGCCGGGTTCGTGCCCTCTTGGTATTCTTGTCTTGCTGTCTGATGTTTTGTGATGACCTCATACGTTGTCTGGGTTCTACTTTTCCCGCCAACGTACTCAGCCGACCGACCAGTCCGGGGGCCGAGAGAGAAAACATTACTACGGCCACGTGGTGTCTGGAAAATGACAACATTTACTACAAACTGTTTCCCTCAGACTTCATATCTGTAATCAGAAACAATTGGCGTTCTGATAAAGTTTTCCAAACAGAGGTGCCAACTCACGGCGATGTGATGTGTGTAACTTCTGAGAATCATACCTTTTCTGTGATGCACAATGTTTATCATCGCAAAAAGCACTCAGTTTTGTGTTATATATATATGTCGGACACTAGATACCTTGCACTGATTGCGGCCCACGCTTACCCTTGACAAATTACAAGATGATATGTTCCTGAAGTGACCGTTCTAATAGTGCGTGGGAGGACTCGAAATTGCAGAAGTTGGTGACAAAAATACTTGCTCCCCTTCACGTTTTGTGAGGAATCGCCACCTGGCGGTGTTTTGTTAGTCTGTGTTTTGGAATGACCTCACTTCACATTGTCTGGACTTCCTCCGCCTACGCGAAAACGCAAGGGGGCTCACGGGGTGAAAAGTCCGGGCACAACACGGCGCATATGGACATGTTGTGTCTACAGAAGTCTCATGACAGAAACGCGCGAGAAATATTTGACACCTTCAGTTTTACGACATGTTCGTGACGCACGACGAATTACGGTAGATCTGCAGATAACATTATGGCCCTAATACACGAGTGTCATGCGAGGGGCGCTACAGTCTGATCCTTATCTACAGGAGCCTACGCCCGGTGGGCACTGTGCCAGCGACAAAAATAACCACGTATCCCGCTTTCCCACCCCCTACCTTTTCTACCTTTGTTTCTGTACTCGATAAATGACTGTAAAATTCGCGATGTGGTGTTTATGAATGTCTGTCTCCTTGGTCGATCCTGTCATATTCCCCGCATGGGATCATATGTCACCTAGATGTGGAACAATTCCACAAGAATGTGAATACTAATTTGCTATTACAGCATGACATTCACTGACAATTCCGTAGAGGATGTCTTTTGGTATATCTTTTTGGGGTTTGTGAAGTTAATTTTTTGTGAACCTCGTAATTTTTCTTTTCCTTTATCCCAAATTTCTTGCTTTCCCACTGATCAACTTTGAGTTTAATTCTCCCAATTCCTGACATTGTTGAACAACCACAGTACTATTGAACTTTTTGTAAACGGAATACCATTGCAAATAAAAGAAGGAAAGAACAGAATAGGAGAAGAGCTAAAACGCGGATCACTAGTGAGACGTGCAAACCCGCGTATAACACTGAGTCGGACCCTACATCTGCTTGGAGAATACAGAGGAGTTTGGTTGGAGCAAGAAATAATGTCCTTGGTTGGAGTAAGGAGGTAGGTAGCCTCTACCAAGCTCCTAAAAGTTGCTGAAAAATATTAGCCTTTACCAGGCTTCGGGAGGCGGCTAGAAAGAGTAGCAATCGGCCCAGTAGAGAGCTAGCATGCCAACGGAGTTTGGTCGACTGGAAACAGTTTGCCGCTCCCGAGCGATAGAGGCTAGAAAAATATAAGAAATTCGTCAAAGAGACTGAATGAATACTAGTATGCTTGAGGAGTTAGCCGAGCAGAGGAGTACAATTCCCTAGGTTTGAACTTTAAGTTGTACTATTTTCTGGCATAGGTCTATCATTCCGTCTATTTGGTCAATGTCTCAGGATTTTTCCAGCAATCCGGGGGGCCTGATGGTAGAGGCTGGAAGGTAGAGAGAGCGCACGTTTATTAAAAGCGCTACAGTGCATATTTCTATAAGATTTTCAGTCAATCCAACCAGGGAGGTCGAGGTTCAATCT